TCTAGCTGAACTGATTGCAAGGACAATGTTTAGAGGTCTACTTTCTCACTTAAAAACTTCTTAAAACAGATTTTTACTCACTGATCACAGCAAATATAGCAAAGCCACTCTCTACTGTTGAACACAGGAGCAGCACAAGCATCTGGACACATTTTACTGGACGCGCTTCAGGAGCATCAAATGGCCTTAATGAGTATAAGCATCAAAAACAAAGCAGCAGAAACGTCTTTGCTCCTGAAAAACGCGTTCAGCGAGAACGTAGAATTACATATTTTACCTATATGACCAGCTGTTGAAGGAGAAGTGCAAAACAAGTGAAGGCAACCATAGATCATTCTACTTTCTGTTCTCTCCTGAAATGTAGGACCATCAATTCTCTTTGCCCAGTAAGAGGGAAGAAAAAGTAAACAAAAAAAGTACAAACTAGGAGAAAAAGGTCTACATCAGCACAGCTTTGACCAGGTGGAGACAATTCATGAGGGAGCAGCGTTTTAAAACGGACATGGAGATTTCAGGCTTTCTGCTGGACATGTGTGTTACTTCAATATAAAAGTAATGTTTATTTTGGGATTATGTTAGAAACGAGGCAGTGTAGTCCAGCTCTGTCCTCCCAGCAGTGACCGCCAGCTTGTTTGTTATCTGACACTTGATAAGCTCCATTGCAACAGTTATCAGTCGCTGTTTTTCTTCACAGAAGTCAGAACAGCAGGTGACCATACTCTTCTTTCAGCTCTTTTCTCTGAGAGACTTTCCATTTGTTTTTCATCATTCATTTTGTCAAAGGGGATGGATGTTTTCCCTTTAGTCAGAAAGAGTGATACCAGTTTCCTGTCACTAGAGCCGCAAGTATTCTTATTAAAAAATATATAAAATAAAAAACACAGAATCGTAGAATAACAGTATCGTTCAGTACCTCATCACCTGACAGGACCGTTCAACCCATGCAGGATGTGACATGATGACATTTATTACACTGTTAGCTTCAATAATAGTTATTAGGCACTTGAGGTAAGGTACCAGGGTAAACTCCCTGGTTGTCTGTAATTCATTATCAAACCACTAGATCGCAGTAAATCTGACACACTGGGGCTTTAAGGTTGAAAGTCAGGCATGTATTCAGACCAGGGATTTCAGCCCTCGTTGTCTGGTGCCCTACACCTTTTAATGTGAATCTGTGCTTAAACACACTAAAACCAAATTATTAGGTCCTTTGCAGGAATGTGGAGATCTTGAATTCAACTGAAGGGGTAGGTCACCTATTTTATTTGGACCTGGGATGATCTGAAAGGTGCAGGACAGCTCTCAAGGACTGGTGTCCTTTTGAAATGTATTGTAATTCTTTGCTATGGAAGCCAACAGACTGTATTTTAAAGCCTTCAGCTGATCTGAAATGCTGCAGCCAGTTTTAACCAAAATTGAAATGTCAGATTATATCTCTACTACCCTAGCTATTCTTCACGGCTTCCTGTTGAATCCAGAATAGAATTTAAAATCCTCTTCCTCACATATAAAGTCCTAAATAACCAAGCTCCATCTGATATCAGAGATCTGATTGTTCCTTTTGTTCCTAACAGAGCACTTTGCTCTCAATCAGCAGATTTCCCAGTGGTTCCTAGAATTTCTAAAAGTAGAATGGGAGGCAGATCTTTTAGTTATCAGGCTCCTCTCCTGTGAAACCAACTACCAGTTTTAGGCCCCGTCCACACGAAGTCAAAACGAACACGAAACGCTAATATTTTCCAGAACGTTTGTCGGAAAGACGGAGACGTAAAATAAATGTGATCGTCCACACGAATGCATGAAAACGCTGCAAAATGTATGCCAGGCCTGTAAGTGGCGCTGTGGTGCCAAAGCAAAAATAGGCGACGAAATGTTGGGCATGCGCAGTAATATTTATACGGGTCCATTTTGGTGGTTCAGTCAAATTCAGGTGCTGAACTATGTGGTCGATATTGCTCTGTTCTTCCTGGAGATATTCCAGAAGAAGAAGATTCTGTTGTAAGCCCGACAGCAGGGTGAGTAGCATTAGCAGCAACCATTCAACACAGTACGGCACCATTGTTGTTGTGATACTGTGTCGCGCATGCGTGTTTAGAGGCGACGCTATGACGCATGCATGTAAAAAAAAAATGTGGTTAGAGCTTAAAGATGGAAACGCGAAAACGGCGTTTCAGAATCTTCCCACTCTGAAGGCTGAATAAAAAAAAGATCGTTTACAGACCCCCGAAACGCCGGCTTCGTGTGGATGAGAGGCTGATTTGGTGAAAAATTTGTGCGTTTAGGCCAGGGTTCGTCTTCGTGTGGACGGGGCCTTAGTCCGTGAGGCAGACACCCTGTCTACTTTTAAGACCAGGCTTAAAACTTTCCTTATTATGGTACTCTATAGTTAGAGAGGCCTAGGTTATCCTGAGCTATCTCTATAGTAATGCTGCTATAGGCTTAGACTGCTGGAGGACATTGGGACTCCTTTTCCTCATTATGCTTAATTCTATCTGTATTCTCCCATTCTTTTCCTTTTTTACTGTGACTCCATCCTGGAGAGAAACATCAGATGTGCTTCTGACATCTTTTGTTCACTGATATTATTTTTTTTAGTGTTTAGTCGTTTCCCTCCTAGACACAGCAATGGGCTTAGCTTTTGCTGTGATTAACTCGATGTGCTTCATGGTTATCTTTTCTAATAAAGAGAGTATTTACAGATCAATGCTTCTATGTTTCTTTCTGTATGTCTGCTTCTATCTCCTTGAACCGCAGATGGCTTCGACTGAAGCCCCTAACACTGAGCCTGGATCTTCTGGAGGTTTCTTCCTGTTCTTCTCCTCTGTTGCAACATCCATGCATGCTGTGTGAGGGATTGCTGTAGACTCACAATACAATGCTAGCGAATAACCCCTGTCACCATATGGAGGAGCTTGTCATGGAACTCTATGACTTACTGTAATGCAATCAGCTGGTTTTCCTTAGATAAAAAATTTTTAACCAATCTGACTGGATGATCCTATTAAATTGTTTCGATAGAGTGCCTTGAGATGACGTGTTGTGATTTGGTGCTGGATAAATAAACTTAATTTAACTGAATTTGATTCAGGCGTGTTGGAGCAGACAAACAACTTAAACTTGCAGGATGAGGACTGGCCTTAAGTCTATCAGTCTATGTGTAAGGAATCAATTCAATGTATCGGTTTCACTTGTGAAATGTTATTAAGATTCTACGGATAATTAATTAATCAATAAATATAGAATAACTTTTCTCAGGTGCAACAGGGGAATTAATACCGATGCTACAAGAACTTTGTGCGCTGTGAACTCTGTTGCCTCTGCTGTCCCCTACAGACAGACAGCAAAGCCTCCCATTGCATGACAACCAGCAAAGGAAATGAGATCATCTCTTTCAGTCCCTTGCCTTTCTCTTACTGACACGGTTTTTAAATTGTTCACGTTGTTTTTCCTGATCCCTGTTGACCTGCTGGTGATTGTACTGAGAACTGTGACCGCACGGCAGGGGGCGGAGCTGTTGGGTGAGAAACCTGCAACCTGCACGCAAAGGTACTGAGGACACGAACACATACTGCACCTGCATATTTCACATCAACAAACTGTATGTGAAAATGGATGTGGTTTGTTTTCGTTAAAGGAATTCACACAGAATCCAGCAACAATGAACCAAAATCAAAAAAGAGCACATGCTGACATCTGTCCAAGTCTGAAAATTCAAATTCGCCTTTTTTTCTTTATTTGAAGTCCAAAGGGTCCCTCTCGGTGGTGTCTGGCCATTAACCGGCCTTCCACGTCTTTATATCCAATTGCTCTGACCTCTGACCTCTTACATTTCCATTATGCACATGGCAAATGGAATAAGGCTGCATCAGTATAAGGGAATATTTCCTACATTCAGGTTTTTTTCTAAGGTGCTGAGAGACCAAATATTTAAAGCTATGTAACTAGAGAAACATATGGGTTTAAATGGAGGGAATCTTTACTGAGTGAAGTCAGTTTTGTAAGAATTTTGTTTCAGACTTAATCAGTGACTTAGCATCCTCTGCTGGTGGAACTGGGGGAATTACGTTTTATAAGGCAGATGATGGGGAAAAAAGCTTTTGGAAATATACGGTCTGTAATTTCAGAGATCTCTTTGAAAACGTTAAAAATAAAAATCTGTAGGAGTTTTGTTGTATTGTATTTACAATGAAAACACATATATCTCAAATTAAGTCAATTAGTACAACTAATCCTGGTGCGGTTTCATTATTCTCAACAAAGCACTACAATTTGAGAAAAAAAAGATATATTTGATGCATCCAGCTTTCAGATTATTGGATTTATATATTTATATTTATTTTTTGTTCTCTTTTTTAATACAAAGTCATATTTAATTTACAAAAAACAGAACATATTTAAATACACCTTTAAAGTGAAATGAGCTCTTAACTTGAAACTGTTTGAATAAAAAAAATAAAAATTGATTTCTATGAAATTTAATGTATACCTGTTTACATGAGTGAAATGTTTACAAATTTAAATAAAATGATGAATATAAAAGTGTCATTAAAATCATTCCTTTGTATGTTTTTCAGGTGAAACCATGTCAGTGACAATCTTCTGTATTTAATTTTTGCATCTTTTCATATTGTTAAAGCAACAGATGCCAACAGTTTTTAGTTTCTACATCCTTTTTCTGAGCACAAATGAAGCTGTAATTATCTAATGAACAATTATGACCCGACAGCAATCTCATGAAATATTATCTGACTTTTATCCCAGATTGGCTGTGGGTCCAACCTCAGTGCTGGACACTGCAGGCAGGTGCAGGAAAGGCAAACAGTGCAGGTTCTGATTTGTTTTCTTTTCTTTTTTTGTAACTAATTCCCCTGCAGGCAATCCATCAGTGGCAAAGCAGAGCTTCTATGGACGGACACAGGAAGGGGAAGAGATGTAGACGATAAAATCTATCGTTTGAAGTGGTTCAGCTCAAAGGCAGAGCTCAGAAGCTCAGACAGAAGGGCTCATGTTGTATCTTTCTCACATGATGTTCTGCACGCACAGGGCTGGATCACACCCACAGCAATGAAAGCCAGTCAAACGGTGTAAGAGAGAGATTTTAAATGTCTGTTTTCTCTCAGTCTCACAGTTCGAAGTGAGTAAAGTTCCACCAAGACTCATGGCTCCGTTCAGTTCAGCCCGGCTGTGAGCTAAGGTTTAACTGACAAGTTCAGGTGTTGATTTTAAAACAGAGCTCAAAGGTAGGCACTGGTTAGCTCTGCTAGCCTGGAGTCTGTGAATGCTGATGTAAGGGTCAGGTTTTAAAATCTCCTTGTCCAGAGGCCCATTCTACAAAGTCTTCTTCCACACTGGAATGAGGAGGATTGTCCAGAGAGATTCCCCTCCGTTCACCAAACACCTTCTCCTGAAGCTCAATGATGTCGTTCCTGATGTCAGCCATCATCAGCAGAAGGAAGTCAAAGGAGCCGGGTGGTCCCTGCAGTCACACAAAAGGTGGGTTATGCAGATCAATGGTAAATGTTTTACTCTTACATGCACAAGGACCATAGCACATGAAAAGAGAAAAACTCTGCAGACAGCGCCATCTACTGGCCATTTACTATAAATTCACAAATATTTTTATTTTTTTAAACAAACACAATCCAACTGTGAGAAAAACTCTGCATCACATTAATCTTTCTGGGTAACACTGATTAATAACTGCAGTTTAATTAGGCTGCTAAAATTGTCCTCCTCCAAAGAGAGAACATCTATAAGGACACTTGAGCCAAAATGGAAGTGCATCAACCATTCTTATGATAAATTCAGTTTGCTTCTTATATTTTCTTTAGCATAGGGACCTCTTCACATTCCTAACCACTGCAAAGTCGCTATACTGTCTACACGATGTTTGAGAGACAGGATTTAGTGTATAGACACAGCCCATCTCACAGAGTTAAATAAAAACTAATTATTTCCTGGCATGCACTCTGTCTACCACACCCTTATGTACACATGTTCATATTTTCTAGGTTTTATAACAAAGAGCTTCAGCCATTCCCTACATTTAAGTAACGCTTGCTTTTTTAGTTCCTTTCCAGAAGACTCTAGTTCCAGTTTGACAGTCATTCATATGCTTGTCTGTGAAAAGAAAAACAACAGTAGGTCGTCTGGATTTAGCACAGTAGTTCGTACTCTTTATTCTACCCTGGATAGTGCTTTTACTGCTGACCCCTTGAAAGGAAAGGATAAGAAGGTAAAGTCTACAATTTGATGGATCGGAATGAGTCTGCCCCTGTGTTTAGGTATCTGCTACCACTTTGGACCAGCAAAGTGAGAACTCTTGGATTCACTGGTAAAGACAAGGAAATAATCAACCAACTAGATTAGATCAGACATCAGGGAACCTGAGATATGTCTGATCAGGTAAGGGTCGGATCTGTTTGGTTGCCTAAAAATAAATTTGTACTTAAACAGCTCTCCAGTTAAGGAGGAGCTAAGATTGCCAAAAACTGGCGCTCTGGGTCACATGACTCTTTCAGCGACGGATCCAACCAGCGACTGATCCAACTAGCGACGGATCCAACCCTCTAAAGTTACATAGGAAAGGTTTACAAGAAGAGCAGCCTGCCCAGACCATCAGTATGCGCAAAATGTGGAATGTTGACCTTGAAAAAAACCTAAGCAGTGTTGCTGTAAGCTGATCATGGATGACATAACACCTGCAGGGAAAATGTGAAACCACTATAAGTACAAACAGGTATGATACATCTACCATGGACAGCCAATATCTTAAAAAAACAGGAAGGATTGGAATAAGGCTTGGTGAACATTTTAGATCTAGATTCTAAAAACCCTGAGCATCGCTTCCAAGCAAAGTATTCTCCTTATGGTACTCACAGGTGGGCCACTCGGTCCTGGAGCGCCACGGTCACCCTGTTGGAAGAAAACAGCAACACTTAACCACCTTGTCTCAACTCTATGCAGAATTCATGATGCATAGGGTATATTGTCACACATGGACTGCTTTGCTAGTAGATGTAATTTAAATTAAGTCCAAAAGAAAGACCTACAAAACTACACCAATTCATTCATGCCACCCAACAGCCGCTGCTTCATAAATATGAAGATCAAATACATTATAGTTAGTTCTGGATTTTGTATGTGAAATAAATACATCAACATAAAGCCAACTAATCTAAGAATGAAATATACACCTCTATATATTCTGTTCTGTAAGAACAATCAGATGATGTTAGTCATGAAATGCCATAAACTAAGTGAATACAGATGACCTAAGCTTGATTATCATATGTAAGAAGGATGTTCCTAAGAAGCGATTATAATACAAAACATACCTAATGATACATAAGGATCTGCATGTTATATCTTCATCAAGGTAAACATGCTTCAGTAGTAGATTGTTAAAAAAAAAAGTTTGCAATTTGGCGTGTGGCTGCAGGCCAGAGCATTCACAACAGCACACACAGGTACTAATGTGGCTAATATCTGTAATGCATCAGCGTAACACAGACACCTGAGCTCTGTTTCACAAAGCAGGTTTAACAAACTCAGGCTTAAATCCTTAACTCTGACTTGTTCTAGCCTGGGCTTGGAGACTCTGAGTTTTTGGTTTTACAACAGCTGGTGTGAGTTAGTTTAATGAACTCTGAGTAGGTCCAGTCAGAGTTGAAATCATGTGTAACAAGTATGAAAATGAATTATGATTCAACAAGTCACCATGACAGCAGGCAACAGGAAGTGCCTATTTCACCCCACTGGAACTAGAGATTTTAATAAATAAATAAAATAAAAAATTTGGAGAATGTGTTTAAAAAACAGAGAAACAGCATTACAACTGAAAAGGAGAGGAAGATGGCAAAGGAGAAAATTGTTTCTCGAGTTAATGTGTAGGTTTATATGTAATCTGGTATGGCAGGCAGTTTTGACATTTATGTATAGGGTTCTCCCCTGTTTCTCCATTTGTAGAAGATAGGATTATTCTTGGTTAAATTCCTTTTCCCAATTGTAACAACAGATATTCTGAATTACATTTTTGCAGCAGAAACAGAATTTTAGAAGGTAAAAATTTTTTTTTTAATTGTACCAGTAAGAATCAAGTTTTATATACCTAGAAATGTTTACACATTTTAAACGGCCATTTTGACATTTATCAGCTTAACTGAATATCTATTTATGATATCTAAAAAAAACATTTCTTCCTAATTAAAGTAATACAAATGATGACCAGTAACAACAGACATATGAAGACTTGAAGTTTGTTTCTAGACATCCAGAATGTTTATTTTAGATATGGAAAATGTAATGTTTTTATTTTTATTTTCACAAGGGGAAAATGTATTTCAGTTTTCAGATAAATAAACACAGTTTCAGACAAATAAATATCAAACGACCTGCCACAGACTGTTTTAATTACAATAACATTACAGGGAAACTGTTTTACTGGATGAATGGTAGTGGATCAATGTTTTGTGTTTAGGTAGGAGCAGGTGAAGATTAAGTTTAAAAACATAGTTCTAATAGATAGGACCTGTTCATCACCTCATGGGGTTCTTCCTCATTTTCATTCTGTAATTCTTAACGGAGTAAATATTAAGCGGCTGTTTGACTGCAATTGTTTTCTATAATTCTATAATTCTGTCTCATTGAACCCCAGTGGGCCTCAGCAGATGGCCGCTCACACTGAGCCTGGTTCTGCTGGAGGTTTCTTCCTATTAAAAGGGAGTTTTCCTCTCCACTTTCGCTACAAGCATGCTTAGTGTGAGGGATTGCTGAAGAGTCAATGAGTCGATGCAATCAACTGGTTTCCTGAGATAGAAAAATTTGAACCAATCGGACTGTATGATCTGGTTGAATTGTCTCAGTACAGTGCCTTGAGATGACATGTGTTGTCAATTTGCACTATTTAAATACACAGAATTGAATTGTAATGCAGATGTGAGGTCTGATAAAGTCTGGATGTGATGGATTGTGAGGTGAAAATCTGAATATAAATGTATAAATACTTATTTCTCAGTGAATATTGCTGCTCATTCTTAAATAAATTCCTCGTCTAAAGGCATGCATAAAGACATGCTATGTTTGTGTTTTTAACACCTAATATATAACGTACCTAGTAAAATATTTTCTTTTTAATGTCTAAACAAAACCATGACAAAACTATCCAGACTAAATTAGGAAATAATACAATGTGATTGTTTACACTGAGTTCACTGAATAAAACCTTCTCCCCACCAGGTTAAGGAAGCAAACAGAGAGTTTTGATTAAATCTGACCTTAGGTGGCTATAACAGAATCAAAAAGAGTTCCAACCTTTAATCCGTCTCTTCCTGGCGCCCCAGGTGGTCCCTGTAGGAGTGATAAGGACATGATGATTTGCTCTTTAGGCTTATTTCAATTTCCACGTCCGATGGTACAAATCTGACACATTAAACTCTCTAATCACAAGAACACTGTGTCCTGCTGCTTCAGGATCAACCTTTTTATTCACAGAACGAAAAGCATCATAAATAGAAGAAGGGAGATGATTCCCGATGTCTTCATGACCAAATCAGTTTTATAAACTTTACATTACAAATCAGAAATTCGGCTTCTGTCAGTGGTGTTCATCTTTGTTTACCTGATTAATAGAACTGGATGGACTGTAAAGGTAAAAATGTACTTTTAAAAAAAACATATTTATCTTTACTTCATCTTAAACGTCTCAAAACAGAAGAGCAGTGGAGAAAGTCTTATGAATTTCCAAAACAAACTGAGACAGAAAACAGTGAAGCCAAATGATTTCTTTCTACCTCTCAATGAAGCTTTATTTATTTTTGATTCATCACTTACAATACTGATAAAATACATTAAAGTTTAAATAAGAAGAAGCTTAGAGGTAGTAAGTTTAACTCCTCCCAATAAGTGGTGAAATCACTGCTCTTTTATATTGATGCTGGAAAGGTTTTTTTTGTTCTAAAAGCAAAATTATGGCATAATTGCTGCTTTAAGTGGGTCGCTCTGTCAGTTAAAGGCATGTTTTAGAGTCTCTATACTACAGTTAACAATTAATCGATTACTAAACTAGTTGATAGTTGTCGCTTATTCACGATTTATTGTTTCGGCCCTACTTTACAGTATGTTATTTGGATGCGTTATCATTTAATTTGGAGCTATGAACTTTAAGGGAGATCAATGCATTTTCCGAGTGCTGTATGCTGCAGAGAAAAGATGATGCTGGCTTCTCCACTCTTCTGACAAAAAGCTCCCCAACAGAATTCTTTTTGATCTTTCAAATGTTCAAAAAGGTCTGATTTCAGATTTTCTTTTCTTTCACCTGCAGGTTTTTTATTGCAGCTGTAGCGATTAATGATATCTGTGGTTTAGAGAAAAACTCCACTGTCTGTCTGAATGTTGTTCCATTAATTCATGTCAACTTTGATTCCACTGAAAAACTTTTACTGTAATGCAGTAGTGAATGAGAACTGAAGCAGGAATATTTGGGTAATAAACTCATTTGGTGCTCTAGTTTTATGATGAGCAGGTGTGCAGGATTTAGGTATTGATCTAATGCTGTGAAGTAGAGACCTAAACCCTACAGCAGTCATTGTTACACAGATGGTTTTTCCTACCACTGGACCCCTGCGGCCTCTCTTGATGTGCCTGAGGTCTGGTTCTGGTCCCATAGGCCCCATGTCTCCCCTCGGACCCCTTGGACCAGGCGGACCCCTCTCCCCAGGCTTGCCATGGCTTCCTGGTTCTCCTGGATGTCCTGGTAAAGACAAACAGATGACATTTAATAGAGTAATGAGGCTTCTACCAACGTCCCAAAAGCATTTCCCCTCCAGTAGTTGAATAAATAATCCTCCTTGGTCATCTCTTCCTTACCTGGGAGACCAGGAGCCCCTGGAGGGCCAGGTAATCCAGGCAGACAGGCGGTGTCCGTGCTTTTCCCCCCTCGAGCCGGTTTGTCGCTGCTGTTAGCCAAACCAGACACCTAAAAACACAACAGAGAAAGAAATTTCCATTAATGTTATCCTTCCCTGCTGCCTGATGTTCATCCGTTACTCCGTTTACTTTGTTAACAGAAATTTATTTTGGAACTGTGACATTAAGCTCGCTTTTCATCCATCAGCATAGAATTAAAACGCTTCGTTTCGGCTAAAGTTCTTTAAACTGAAGGGATTTCCTACCTGGTTGTGTGACTGTGTGTTTCCAAGCCGCAGCTTGAGCTGAAACAGGCTGCTTTTCATGTTCATGAAGTCCTGACAGGTGAACGAGCAGGAACCAGCGCTCATCAAGGTGTCGGACTTTCCCGAGGAGCTTACTGCGGTGAAAAAACAAAGATCTGTTCATTTTCTGCCATGTAGCGCAATATATCAAAACACATCAACAAAAAAAATAAAAAATAAAATAAAGCACTCAACAGCAATGATTTTATGATAGAAATGTTATAAAGTTCTGAACCCACTTAGCATCCTGATTAAACAGTTGGGTCCTGAAATCCAACACGGAAAATTAAACTGAACGATTAACATTTATTTTTAAATGCTCGAAGATAAAAAGATTTTGTAGAAATATTTGCATAGTTGACCCATAATTTGGGTCATGAGTCGTCTCTGATAGCCTTTCGTTGGTTCAAGGCTAAGAAATGCTGGGTCTCTAATTTAGAGTAATAGACTTCAACAAACATTTAACTTTAATGGAAGATATTTTAGTCACACAGTCCTGGTTACTGCTCACTTCTACATTATATGTCTCCACAATCTAGATTATTAAACCTTCCACACTATAATGTCTTTGTAAACAGACATCAGGGCTAAAAGACGGAGACTAAACAAAGGTAAAGAATTTTTTTTTTCAGATGTCAAAGTAGTTGTTGCTTATAATAATAAAATTAAATATTTTACAAACCTCTACTTGTGTTTTTAGGAAAATGTAAGCAATGCATTTTTTCTTTACATTTCTTTTTAAATGTTTAGTCCTGTTTCTCTCTTAGACAGTTATGGGCTCGGCTTTTACTGTTACTAACTATCCTTTATCCCTTTTCGCGTAGAAACTGGCTCAGAGATCATCTGAATAAACAGTTTCTTTCATAGACATTCACAGGAGGAGCTAGTTTAACTTTTCTAACATAAGTGTTTATAGAATAGTTCTTCTATGTCTCTTTTTGTACAGTATGTCTGCTTCTGTCTCCCTGATCCCACAGTCGGGCTCGGTAGATCTGCTGAATCTTTTTTCCCCAGTTAAACAGTTTTCCTCTCCACTGTTGCTGCATGCATGCTTACTGTGAGGAATTGCTTTCAAAAACAAAATTCAATTGAATATCTGCTGTCGCCACAAGCTCTTCCAAGAGAGGCAAGTCCTGCAAACTCAATATCTCGATGCACTCAGTTGGTTTTAACCAATCTGACTGGATGATCTGATTGAATTGTCTCAGTAAAGTGCTTTGAGATGACATGTTCTGAGTTGCATCTATTTAAATAAAATTAACTGAATTAATCCGCTTCCTGATTAACATTTTTATATTACAGTAATCATGCTCTTCTAAGTTGGTCCAAATGCTCCAAAAAGCATTAATAGTTTTCATTTTTGAGTTTTCACAAATAGAAAAAAAGGTTTTATTGTTGTGTTTAAAGCACTGAAATTTCTGTTTATAGTTTTAATGTTCAAGGTGATGGTCAAATAAAGTCCAGATTCTTGGAAAAAAAGAAACAAGGAAAAAATAGTCAATTTGTTTGATGCCAATTAAGCTCAAACACTGGGGGGGTGTTAGTCCATTTTCCCTAGAATGACTGATCAGTGCTTAGTAAATAAGCCCATGTTCGTTCCTAGTCATTGAAATCAGCAGTACATAGAACTGCTAACTTAGAGTCCATCAGTAAAAATAAAAAACAATTTAAAAGCAAACAATCCTGGATACGCAAATAAGATAAGAAAAGGCACAGCTGTAAAATGGCTTTTAATCCAACTGCTTGTGTTCACAGAAACCAAGTGGAAAACCCCCTTCCCCCAAAAAACAAGTATTTAAAGGAAAGTGAGTGTGATGACAGTGATCATTCTCAGGTGAAACACATGAACTCACGGTTCCGCACTGGGATGCAGGAGCGCTGGTCTGGAGCCAGGATGTACCCGGTGTGGCAGCGGCACTGAAAGCTCCCGACTGTGTTCACACATTCATGGTCGCATTGACTTTTACCATACGCCTCGCACTCGTTGATGTCTGCATGTACATTAAGCAGGCAGCAAACAGAGAAGGAACAGTGACATCAAAACCATTTACAACCTAAACAGATGAGGTTGTGAAGGCTGATATTAGAGGCATCTGTTTTTTATATGCAATTCGTTAGAGGAACTGATGAAATCAAACTTACCCAGGCAGTAGGGAGACTTGTGGGTACGGTGTCTTTCCCTGTCGAAGCGATAACCAGGGTAACATGTACAGACGACGCGACCAAAGTTATCAGTACACTGCTGCTCACACGGTGACGCCGCGCACACATCAACACCTGCAAAAAAAGAGTAGACTGACTCGTTCTGATGAAATACATCATTATTACATTAAATAAATAGTTGTAAATGTTTATTGAAATGAATAAATGTACCATGCAATACAAAAATGTAACACTAAACCATGCAATATAAAAATAAATCATTAAATGAGCCATAAGATAATGAAATACTGTGTATCTTTAAAATGACGGTATTAAATAATGTAATTTCTTTAGATATAGATTAACTTACATTCATTGCATGATTTTAATCTGCATTTATTCATATTTATCATCATTATTTGTACTGTCAACTTCACCTCAAACTTAGGGGGTGGGACTTGGTTTCTGTTCATAATACAGTGTGTGATTGGCTGCTTCTCACTTACAATAATAAGGCAAATTTTTCAGGTTTTCTTTTACTTTAAGTCAACTTTTTTCACTGTGAAAGATTTAAATAATTTTCTAAAACATGTGGCCATTTATAACACATTGGGTGAGAAACTCCAACCTCTGAGATAGAAGGTGAGTTGGTGTTAGTCAGTGGGCGGGGCTAACTGATTCTGCTGACGTCTGTGAAGGACTCCCATCAAACCAGACCAGAGCAAGCTCTCTCCCAAGATCATTAGATCAATTGCAGATCAAACTGGGCTATAAAGGCTGGAGTATCTCACCCAATGAGCTGGAAATAAATAACAAAATCTTTTTTGGAAGTTTTTCTGCTTTTCCAGCTATAATACTGATTTTAAAGGTAAAAAAAAAATAATTATTGGATGTGAGAAAACATTGCCAGATCATTTTCAGTGAGAATCAGCCAATCAGACATCAGGGCTCTATGGAAGTCCCGCCTACATTTATTTATTGTGTGCCTCAGTGGAGGAACATGAAATAAACTATTGAATCATAACATAAGTTTATCCACTTTTTAAAATTAAATGAATATATTCAGTTGAAGACAATTATATGTATTAGTTTAAATAAATTGATGACACATATAAATAATTATTAAAAAAGATATGTATCAATTATATTGTGGCACTTATTGCCCTCCATATACTCATCGCTTCATACACTATAGTGAGGGCTCCAGCAGATCATGGCAGAACATTCATCTTAACTGAGATGATAAAACCTTTTAGCTCTTACCCTATAAACTTTATAAAAAAACTTAATAGTAACTCGCTGTCTTTTTAAGCTTTATAGTATAAAGCTTAAATAGACAGTGAGTTACTATTTAATTGTTTTCACCTGGTAAGGTTGCTTAAATTAGAGCAGTAATTCTGACATTGTATAAACACACAGAAAATATTCACTGTAACTTTAAGATGTGCACTTTTCTCTCATTTCATTGTTTAACTGAGTTTTACTAATTCGGTTCAAAGAGAACATTCCTCTGATCCCTACAGGCCTCATTTCACAACTGCTGAAAGTTTTAGTGTAATGGAGGTACGCAGGATTGCTTTAATCTCTGAAGAAAAGTTTTCCTGGTGTGAGTCCAGAAAGCTTGCTTCCAGTAACATGGAACAATTATTATTATGCTTTATTTACTGAAATCAGTGCATCACTGGTTATTCTCAGGATAGAGAAACAGCGCCCCCTGGTGGTTAATACAAAGAAGTAAAGATGTGCAGATGTTATTGCTTGAATATTTTAGAAGTTTAATTTCTTCATGCATTTTTTTTCAACTTACCCTCTACAAAAGCATTATTTGCTTGCAAAAATAATGGAATAAAGTTCACTTGATACACATGAAGGATCAAAATAAAAAAAATATGAGCCTCACAGCCTAACCTGACAAGCATTAATATCGTTTCTAAGCACCAGCAGGGCGATTTTCCACAGACCTGTAGACAACTTCCTTTTTTCTATTTCTTCACCTTACAAATGCTTTGTATTTATTTGTTCTTTAGCTAATGATTTGTGGAGGCCCCAGAGAATCACTGCAAAGATCTCACAATAAAAAAAATATAATAATCATAGCAGGAAGACAGTAATTACTGAAAAGCAATTACCAGCTTCCATGTGGGGAAAAAAGAGACAGAAGAAGAGTTTTTCCTTCCAACAGAACAACAGCCCTAAATATCCGGCCAAAGCATTAAATTAGGTTATTCGTTTTTAGGAAACTTGTTAGCACTTATTGGAAATTACAACCCTTAATCAGGCATCAAACATTCTTATCATGAGTCCCACTTTAGTTTATGATATTTGATGCACCTTTTTCAAATAGCTTTAAGCAGGACATCTTTTAAATGTTTTAATCATATTTTCTTTTACTTCACATTTCTGCTTTTGATTTGTATCATTTAAAATACTCAAATATACACATTTGTGGTTACAGTAAAATAAACTGTATCGGAAGTGTGTATTAATACTTTGCCTGGTACAAAAGTTTGCATTTTTTTTTAGGTTTTCCCCTAACCATTGCAGAATAAAACTTTAAATAATATAATAGCAAAACAAAAAGCAGCATCAAAGTCATGATTGAGGGTAAACATGTTAGCTCAGATTGTGTTTTATGAGCAGATCAGTGTATGGTTTACCTACTTTCAGGAATGCACTGGCCCATCACAAACCTGAATCCATCACAGCACTTCCTCCTGTATCAATAAAGAACAGAAAATTAATGCTTTTACATTTTTTTAATAAGATCAGGAAGCCCAGGATTTATTTACACAATTAGTTTTCCTTCCAGAGGATAGGAGGGTAAAAAAAAAACAATATAAATCCTTGTATAAGTATCTGTTTATTTTAAGAGCCTGTTAACATACTGTTGTAAAGGAGAACATAACAAAAAAAAAGAGATTTGGAAAATAAACATTTCCTTGTTTGTGTTCCTATCAGGAAACATAAATGTATTTATTTGCATGTAATACAAGATATCTGTGGCCCAATTCAATGACTTAACTGGATTTTGCAGTAAAAGCAGCATTTAGCTGAGGTTTAATCACAACATGAAAATTAAATTATGTTTAAAGTATAAAACTGTTCAACAGAACAGAACCAGCTATAAGATGAGTGAGGGAATAGGCAAATAAAACCCTGCTGAGAATTACATTATGAAGCTGGTGGATAAAGTAAACACAGAGTGAACTGCTGTGCTAACAACCGAACGTCTGATAAGAATAACTGCAGAGAGTGAATGTTGATCTTTCCATCTTGAGTCAGAGGACAACAGAGGACAGCTGGATGGAGCAACAATCAGAAACGGTGAAGCAGTGAAGATCTGGACACCAGCCCTCATTAAGAAGCTTTCAGGTCATTCACCCTGCTGTACTAATGATGTGTCTATGGGGGGAATTTTGTTCCATTATTGCTGCAAATGAAGAGCAGGCTTTGTAAATGGAAATTTGAAAGAAATGACATACAGAAATAAAACAAAAAAAATTGTTAATAAAAAAAAGGTTTAGAGTAACTTTGCTGTTGT